AGGCCGCAACCAGGCACCCAACAGCCTCATTCCGGATAGAGTGGTGATGTGAGTTTGTATGTGTGTGCGTTTGTTTCTCAGGCCGTCCTCTTCAACGTCTTGGTCTTCCAGGCGTACGGGCATTGTCTCTTTGACAACAAGCCGGTGCTGCAAAGCTGCGGAGGCCGTTGCCTGGGAGTTCCAGGCGCAGGCAAGGTCACTTGCGTGTCCAACTGCCTCGTCGGCAAGGGCGTGCGTCCTTCATGCGCCTCTTGCCTGGGCACTGGCTTCAACTGCGGTGTCAACGCATGCATGAGCAATTGCATTTCGGGCTTCTCAAAGCCTATCTGCACCTCGTGCATCAGCTCCAACTGTGGTCTTTGCAGCAGGGCCCGCTCCTCAGAGGAGGCCATAGACAACGCCTCCACCATTGAAGCTCTTTTGGACCTCTTCACGGGCGCAAACAGCGCAGCGGCCAACTCAACGGAGTTGCTCAGCATCCGAATGTACACTGCTACTGATATGATAGATATGTATCTTGAAGAAATTGTAAAGATTTTTGGAAGTCATATATCCTTGCCGCCCGCCCAGCTGAGGTTGCAGGAGGAGGCCTCCACCCGTAGCGGATGCTTTGAGGTCCAGGCCCTGATGAAAACATGTGGCACTCAGTGCTACTCCGCAGGAAATCAGGCGTCCCGGTCTGCCCATTTGTGAGTTTTGGTGTGCCGAACCCCCAAGCCCATTCTTCCCATCTCCCAGAAACAAAAACGAGCCGCTGCTCACAACCAGCTCTACATGTACATTTCATATCCTAATGGAAGCCCAGCCCCGAATCAATTCCCTTCAGCTTGATCATCTGGAAAATCTGAGGCAAGTTGTGCCGCTGCATGCCTCAGAGGTAAGGGAGTTTCTTCAGGATGCGCCTCATGCTTCGGAAGCTGGGTTGATGATGATTGCACAGGTTTTTGCTATTGTGGGAATCGTTTAAGCCAGTGCGCCATTCTGGCATGGCTGGTGATACGCGCGGAGAGTGTAGGCCTTAAATACTACAGGGAGTAATTACGCTCAGGTCGGAGTAAGTATGGTTTAGGGTATGTTCCTTCCCCCTTTCCGAGTTTTGAGTTTTGGGATGCGGAGTTCGAAGTGGAGCTGCGTGATAAGGGGAGGAAGCTTCGAAGGCCCGCAAATGAAAGAATTGAGCTGTAGACTAGTGGACTGAAAACGAAAGGCCCATTTTTGTCTTGTAGTAGGAGGAAGGGAGGGGAAAGCTTAAGCACGGGTGTCCTTTCAATGACTCAGGAAGAAAGATCAGCTGCACCATCAAGAACTGCATTTCCCAATGCGCTGCAAATGCGAATGGCGCGGCATGCAAGTCCTGCGTCTCCAGCAAATGCGGCAGGTGCAATTCCCTCAAGTCAATGGATGAGGCTGAGAGCAAGGACAATTTTGTTGCTGCCCTAGTCGAGCTGGCAGCAAAGGAAGA